GAGCAGTGTCTGACTTGTAAAGCAGGTGAGTTGATATAGTTGGGAAGGAGAGAGTTGCCACAATGGGGCTTATGGCCTTCCAGCCCTGAGCAGAATGTAGAAACAATCACATTTACGTGTCTTAGGTAATTGTTCATTCATTTTAGAGTCCCAACATGAGTCAGCAGAGAGTCTTTTAAGACACTCTTGTGATAGTGACACATCCTGTAATTTAGTTAGATGGCAAAAGGAAAATAATAACGGAGGATTTTTAGTGACACCTTTCAGAGTTGCCTACCTCACTAGAAATGTTCTGAAGTCATTTTAAGGCATTAGAAAAGAGGCTAGTGAAAAAGGAGGATGCATGTCACAGAAACTAGGGGTGTTTCCTTTTCCCTCTAAGCCTGTCACAGACAGCTTTTGTAGCCAGATAAAATTAATACCCTGGGTTTACAGATGGCTGGCCCGAGGCTTTAGCACAGTCGTCTCCAACCTTTTTACACCCAAGATCACTTTTTAAGTGTCAGAACAGGCGAAGATCTACCGCCCCGCCCTTTCCTTGAAGCCCCGCCCTCTCTATTCTCCTGTCCATCACTTGCTATCCCTAGCCCTTATACTCTCTGCTAAACAGTTTATTTTTAAATTACGCAACATATAAATTAAAATCACATGTTTATAGTTATGAAATGAATGGTCTGTTTTTAATTCATGCTATTTAAATGTCAAATGAAGCATTTACAATTATACATTTTGTTCTCTGCTATTTTGTAAATCTAAAATCAAGTATTGATAATTATATATTTTTTCTTCCAATAACAAAGTCTCAGTGTGACACCCATGACTGAACAGTATCTGCCAGTGTCTTGAAGTCTGGGTTGTAGTCTGAGATTGCTAGTCGTATACAGTCCATCAGATGGGCATCTGTGATCCTGCGCTCAGCCTGGGAAGCTTGCTCCAGCACAGCCGGAGCTAGAGGCAGCCTCCCTGGGCTGAGCGCAGGGCATCTGGGTTGGAGGGAAGAGAAGTGGCTGCCCGGCCAGCTGGCCATGGCGCTCAGCCAGGGTGCACCAAGCTCCACGTGGGCAGGCGCAGAGAAGAAGCTGCCGATCAGCTGGAGCGCGGGGCAGCCTCTTTCAGCTGAAAGCCACAGTCAGCTTGCTGGGGTGTTTCAGCCCTCCCGACCTCCCAGCTCCCACCATTCCTTGCAGCTACTCACCTGTGTTGTTGCTCGATGAGTAGCTGCTCCTCAAATGAGGAAATCTAATGTAAATGTACTGCGCAGGCATGCAGTTCAGAGAGGGCTCAAGAGCTACTCTTAGAGCCCCTGAGAGCTATCAGTAGATCACAATCTACTGGTTGGTGACCATGGTTTTAGCACAATCCAGCTATGCAGTGAAATCTCCATCCCCAAGGTAGAACCCTGCTGTAACTCTGTAAAGAAGCCTTTATCTTATTACTGGCCTCAGGGCTGGTTGTGTTTGGTACTGTCACTGCAGCAAGGCATAGTTGTGCTGAGGAGAACTGGATTAGTGTGATAGCAAGGTCCCAGATCTAATGTGAGACCTGATTGAAAAAGTAACTGTCCTTAGACTTGCATTGACATACTGCCTGATCTTCAAGTCCTGGTGGCTTGGGAGAAGTTAGTATCTGACCTTTCATCCAGATAATGTGGTGATTATATGACACGTCAGATATGAACTCCTTCCTGGGAAGAGTTGAAGGTCAGGATGTCTGCCACTGCAAAGATCATTACCCTTAGATTTGTAATAAACTCTTCTGAATGATAATTTGGCACATCTATAATACTTCCCAAACAGGGTTAATTGGCTTCACAATAAGGATGTTAAAATGCGGTTAATTGAGTAGTCAATGGAATTTCCTTCGACTATTCGATAGGCACTTCCACATTCCTCCCTTGAAATGCACAAGAATCCCCAGTGGGCGCTCTTGTGCATTTCAAAACCATGGTGCCTGGGGTCAGCTGGGGAGTTCCCAGCTGACCCCGGGCTCTAGGGCTGCCCCTTTGAATCACACAGAGGTGGCATTTTAGAGGGGTAGCCAGCAATCTGTGGATCAGCTGGGGACTCCCAGTTGACCCCGGTTTTCCCTGCGGCATTTCCCAAGAATCCAGGATCTGCTGGGGAGTTCCCAGCTGACCCTGGGCTCCAGGGCTGCCTCTTTGAATCACAGCGTTTTAAAGGGGCAGCCCACTGCGCAGCTGATCCACAAATGCTTATCAGATAGTCGACTAGTCTTTAATATCCCTACTTCACAGTACCCAAATGAAGATGGTAAGAATCATTATTTCCCACTTCAAAGAGAGGGGGAACATAAGCAAGAAAGGCACAGGAAGTCAGTAGTAGAGCTTGAAGTGGAACCAAGATCATCTACTCTAGCAGCTATTCTTTAACTGCTAGACTAGCTCATGCTTCTTCTTTGACCCTATTGTCCTAATAATTTTGCCTCCATCCCATCCCTGCACTAGTTACACTATATAATGTGGACACATGAAGATGTCATGTCCTGTTGTACAAATATAGCTTACCCCGGTAGAAAAATATGGGAGGAGTGGGAAATAGGGAAGTTAGCTATTGGTTAATTCAATAATCGACTCACTGCATGAATTCTTAGCAGTTAGTTGACTGTTCTATAGTCCCTGCTGGGCAGATCAGCCTGGCAGCCAGTGCAGGGTGGCAGCAGCCCCTGTCCACAGTGAGTCCGAGCTCCCCACGGACAGAGGCTGCTGTGGTAAGGATTTTAAGCGGCGGGTAATTGGCTAATTGTATAGTCAATAAAATTCCATCGACTACCCAATTAGTCGACAAGGGAAGGCGCTCAGTCCCGGCTCATGCTGCTCCCCCCCCCCCCCCTGTGGCTCTGCTGTTTAAATGTAGAAAGAGCTGGGCTGCCTTTGTCTGGAGAGCCTCTGCCCACAGCAAGCTTGGGCCCGCTGCAGCAGATGCTGCTTCATGGCAGCCTCTGATAGAGGCAGCAGTGTGTGTGGCGGGGGGCGGGGGAAGAGAAGTGGCACTGGCTCCTGCTTCCCCACCTTGCTGCAAAGGGAGGGAAATGCAAGTAGTTGACTAGATTAACCGATTAACCTAGGTTATCAGTTAATCGAGTGGTCGACTACTTGTTCAAATCCCTGGTGCAAAAAACAGCTTTGAGAACATTCAGTCCTTGTTGGTTCAGGATCCACGTTCTGGTGGAACTTTTGCTATAGGGTTGGCATCAGGACAGGTTCATTCTTACATTCCTCCCCTTAACTGATTCATTCATTTCTTCTCCTAACTTTCCCCCTTAGTTTGGGGCTCTCTGAAGGTTTAAATTGGATTGTTCAATGTTCTAAATAGCTTTTTTGGGCCCAATTCAGATAGTGTTGAAGTCGTTGGGAATTTTGGCCAGCATTACACAAACTGAGTCCAATGACTAAAGTTCTGGTCCCATAAAAATCTGGAAAATTATTCTTGCAGGGCTTGATTTAGGAAAACACTTAAGCACATACTTAATTTCAAGATCATCCTTAATGCTTATATATTCTCCTGAATTGGGGTGTCATAATGGTGATTTCCCATCCCTCCAGTTTTCTAACTCCTGTGATATCATTTTATTGACCCAAGGATGTGCATTTTCACAGGATCATTTCAAGGGCCACAAACTGTTGTTAGCTATTCACTTTTGGTCCTAAAAGCCTCTTCTGTATTCAAAATTCAGAATGTTTGGTACATGTCATGTCTTCAAAATCTAATCCCTAACCTTTGAGTGTCTATTGAAAGGATGCTTTTTTCTAGGAAGAGATCCTTTCTCTCATGCTTCCCTATCCTGAGCACATCATTGTTTTCCTGGCTGTTTAGTGCCAGCTTATTATCCAGGTGGATTTATTTAAGTCTCACTGAAACTAGGTGTACAAGTATTATGGAAAGGAGATTATTACCTCCTGGCTTGGTTTTACTATTGCCTAATTTTGTCTAGAGTCTAGACAATGCAGAGAGCTGAAAGGAATTTGTCCAATCTAAATCCTGAAACATATTTTATAGGCTGCATTTAAAATATGTACACACACACACACACACCTTATACCCTAACACCTGTTTGGTTCCATATAATGAAAGCCCTGAATAATTGTAATGTTTCTCTGTTACCTTTGCAATTCTCTATATGACCCTATAAAGCTACATAATCTGGCCAATGTTCCATATTATATGGGTAGAACTGTTAAAAGGTTCCACTGAACTGTACTTGGAACGGGTGTTTTGCTGACATTCTCTCATTTTTTGTTTGTTTTTTTGTTTTTGTTTGATGGAGAAGTATTTTTCTAAAAACTCCTCAGTTCCCCTTTTAATCTTGGGCCTGACTTTTGTGGAGTGAATGCTGTATACAACACACTTTGCATTGTTTGCAGGGAGGTGAAGTGTATTATGGGAAAGAGAGGCAAAGTTTGGCAGGAGTGGGACTGGAAGGGAGAGGGAAGGAGTTGTATTGGGTTTAGGGGAGAAGAGATTGCTTGGCAGTAAGCCTTTCAGGAGCAAAGTAAACCAAAATGGCACTGAAGCAGAATGGCATCAAGAGATACAAATAATCACCGTGACAAGCAAAAAGGTCCTTCATTTCACAGGTCAACGTACATCCTTCAACATGATAGGCTCCCACTGTGAGGCTCTTAGTTTTTGTTCAAGTACCAGAAGGTGCATGGGGGCGTGTTCTGACTGCGGGTGCACTCTGCCCCATCCATATCTCAGGAACAAGTGCAAACGCAAGCTATTCTGCATGCAAATGAAATGGCATGTGTGTAAGTGCCAGATGCTGAAGCCTGATCTGCTGGTTGCCACACTAGGCTGTTAATGAAGAGGCGCAGTTGTACCTTAATGGGTCACTGAATCCATCTGCTTCAGGTGTATACGTCCTGGATCTGGTACCTACTTGCATTCTCCCAGTGATTATTTTTGTCCATCATATTGTTTCTGCTTAAACCTCAATTTTGTGCATATACTGATTTCTCTCTCTCTTTTGCCTTCTCCTAGAAATTCCGGATAGATATGCCAGGATCAGGCAGTGCTTTCATCCCCACCATTAACGCCATAACAACCAGCCAAGACCTGCAGTGGATGGTCCAGCCCACTGTGATCACCTCCATGTCGAGTCCCTACTCTCGCTCACATCCCTACAACCATCCTCTGCCCAGCCTATCTTCAGTTGGTGGACATACAGCCCTTCAGAGACCAGGTGTCATTAAAACTATTGGGACCACAGTGGGCAGGAGGAGAAGAGATGAGCAGGTAACCATAGTAGATAGAATGCCTCATCACAACTTGCAAGCTCAGGTTGATTTTTGGATGGGCAACTGCAAGACAACCTTTGGTGCTGCATATGCAGTGAGGCTGATGATTCACTAAATGGTGCTCTTGCCTGAAACTGATTGACACCCATTCCATCTTGATAACTGTGTTTCTGAAAGGGCTTTGTTTTGTGTGATTTCCTGAAAACTAAGGCCCTGACACTTCTGCCTTAACAAGAATCCCATGATATCTTTTGGAAGAGTAAAAAGGTTTTGATCCCTTTATGGCTGACTAAATTCTATTTGGCTAATTATTTTGTCTCCCTAAAATTCCCCCTTCCTTGCATTTGTTCAGTTGGGTAACATTCTTAACTTCCAGTCCTCAATTTGAGATGTGGTAATACGGTGCTTTGTTAAATAGCTGCCAAGTTTCCACTTCAGAGAAAGGTGGTAGGTGAATTAATTCTGGGCTTAACATCGTCCGTGTGTGATGGGGAGACAGGCGGCTATGGGTATCGTTTCCATTCCCTCAGCTCTAGGAGTGCTGGTTAGAGTAGCCCTGGGGTTGCAGTGACCCTTCAAGACTATTCAGTCAGCTCCAGATATCCAGAGCACAGCAAACTCTGATCACACTCCTTTGCACCGTGCCGTCCAGCCCTGGCCCTTACTTTATAAAGGCCTTTCAGGTCCCTCAGGATACACCACGATGGAGGTAATTTTACTGCTGAGACATCATTATGAGTTGTAGTTCAGCCAACCTCTTTCAAATACTTAGCAGGTCTGGGCCGATCTGTGGCTTCACATCAAAACCAGGTGAAACTTTGTAGTCTAGACTTGGTTTCAGTTTGAGTTTATTTGGCTATAGCCTCAACCAGAGAACTTCTAACAGCTGAGTTTTACATAATCTGATTTTAAAAAATACCAAAGGATTGGAGAGACGAGGGTTGACTCTGCTGAGAGTGCCACACCTTCCCTTCTCCTCCGGGCCAATTCCTTCCTTTTACTAACTGGCCCACTCAGATTCCCGTATTGTGTGCTGGCATGAATGTGAAACTAACTAGAAATGGGCGGTGGGAGGCTTTTACTGCACAAACATATGCTTATTAAAAAGCACCATCTGTGTAGGGGGCGGCTATAGATCTAAGTCAATTTCCTAGTGGGTAGGTGTCCACATCGCAAACCCAGCAACATCCAATCCCTTGGTGGCAGGCTCAGTAAGGACTGAGAATGATCTTGTGATCTCAGCTCATTTTGTCCATGGCTTTGCTGCTCAGAAGGACATTAATGTGACTGGCATGGGCAAGTTTGGACTTCCACTGTTCATGCTGAGTTAAAAGGAACTTCAGCCTTCAGGGCTGTCAAACCAGTGCTTGCCACTGGTGCAAAATTCGCTTCTAAAGAATATTCTAAATAATCTGGATCTCCCTGTGTTACTCTGAAGCTGCAAGTTGTTCGAGTCTTTGCAGAGGAATGCAATGGGATGCTGCACCAGGCCAGCAGTTTAAATGGGAATTGCACAAGATCTGTTTTTAATAAAAGAATAAGCTCTGCTTTTACTTTCATTTTGATTTTCATTTGTTTTATCCTGTCTGGTTTTTGCTCCCAGTGAATGAAAAGTCCCTTAGTCTTCTGCACTAACATTTCCTTCTTTTAAGCTCTATTTTTATAAGTGAATATTTGTTCAAGAAGAGCCTCCAACAGGAGTAAAGCAGGGCATTAGTTCAGGTGCCAAGACTTGAGTGGATTGCCCTTGCTTTCATTGGGTCCAATGCTCTGTTGTCTAAATTGAAGGAAAACTGACACTAGCACTAGAAGAATAATTATCAGCAAATGATTAATATGACACATGTTGCTTCTGTGTTCACAAATTAGCTGTGAAGTGATTCTGATATCCTCCAATTTGATTATTGTTTGACTTTATTTCCTGAAGACTGTCTGCCAGTAATTTCTGGCCTGTGGCTTGTTTGTGAGCAATTCACTGGTCCTTCAGATTCAAGCTGTGCTGTTTAGACAGATGCTGAGTTCGATACCCGATTGGGTGAATGGGACTCACTCCTAGCATCAGATTTCTGCTGTGGGGGTCATGAATCAAATTCAGAATTCATTTTCTGAGAACATTCTGTAATATTTGCTGAAAGTAGGCTGTTTTGGGGATGTTTCTACTGGCAAACCCATCTACTAGCCTATTCATACAGAATTAATACAAAAGGGATATGAGCAATGCAGAACTGGAGACCTTTAAAAACACCAAGGACTCTTTCTATGTTTAGGCCCCAGCTAATGTTACAAACGTGCCATATTCTGTGCCAGATGGCCTGAGTTGCCACCATTCGCGATTGTTCATAGAACTTATGAAAGTGGCAACCTGAGCCAGATCATTAAACAGAATTGAAGTTATTGGGAATAAAATTTTGGTCTGAAACATATTTCACTGGGGCTTGTGTTCCTTAATTCCATAGGGTCTTTTGAAAATCCCATCCATAGGCTCTAGCTGAGAATTTAAGCATGTGTTTTAATGCTCTGCTGAACAGGGGGTCATACACATATATTAACATTTTAAACATAAATAAAGCTTTGTGTATGCACAATCAAAATAAAAATCATAGAAATTTATACAGTTAATAAAAGAGTAGGAGCACAATGGGATCAGGAAGAATGGGGGAACACATGCACTTTTAAATGAACTTTCTGAAATGGGAATGATTGCCATAAAATATATAAATAAATAAAAACCCAGAATGAAGTTAGGCAGAGTAAAAAATCATAAAAACCAGAAACTGAAAACTCTGAGTAGCATATTCATTGCATTATTCACAGCCCTGACCGTAGTAAAACTGAAAGTTGTTTTTTTTTTTATTAAACAGAATGCTTCCATTATGTGTTGGCAATTAATTTCTTTGCACTTGATCAACCTGAATGCTGACACCAGATTAGTCAGTTTCAGTTTTGTTTCTAATCTGTGGATCTGATTCTTACTGGTTTAGGGCTGCAGGGCAAGTTGGACATTAGTAGACTCAAGTCATGTCAATGCAGGCCAGCTGAGGGTCTGGCTCAGGGTCTTTTGCTGTGTCTCATGTTCTAGTTGTGAGCCCTGCATGGGAGTGATAAAATCCAAACACAAATCTGGCTTTTGTTGGAATTTAAAAATGAGGGCTGGAGCCTAGGCTGGTGTAAATTAAGGGAGCAACATGTACTTTGTTCAGTGTGCTGATTTATATCAGTGGAAGAACTGGGCTGCTATTCATTACAATGGCATCAGTTCTGCTGTGACAGACACTGTCCCCAAATCTAGATATTTTTGAGCTTAACTTTGATATCAGTGGTTGTCTATTGCCCTTGATCACTCTGGGTTTTCAGCAATGTTACTCCATAGGCTTCTGTGGAGTTGCTCCTGATTTACACCACTGAGAACATAATCTGCCACCTGGGTCTTTTTCTGTTGCTGGCTGATTGCCTGCACGTACAGAAAGTATAGTGTGTTGTCTTGGCTAGTGCATGGAGATTTGTGGCCAGATCATGAGCTGGTGTAAATTAGCAGGGCTCAACAAATAATGCAATCTACTCGCTTGTGGCGAGTAGATTGCAACCCGGAAGAGCCGGGTTCGGGCGATCTACGCATGCGCAGATCGCTGGACAGTGCGGCTGGCGAGAGGGGCTCGCCGCGGTTTGGCGAGCCCCGTAAATTAGCATAGCTCCATCAACTTCAGTAGAGCTACTTTGAGTTACTGGGGATCTGGTCGGTGACCTTCTGGCTAACAACTGTGCTTGTGTGGAAAGAAGCCGTTATTCTGTTTCAAGAAAGAGGTACTTAGATCTTTCTCTGGTTTTGCTTAACATACTGCCTCTTGCCACATACTGTGGCGCCTCACTCCTCTTTGACTCTAGCCCTGCATTATGGAGCCAATTCTAGGAGAGATGCGGAGCACCTCCATCTCCTAGTGCTCTCCAGCATGGGACTTCTGCGAGGGGCTGTGCCCTTTTATTGAGCCCTTTTTGCTGTGCGCAAGGAAGGATTTGCTCAGATTTTGTTATGGTTGTTTTTGGCATGTGCCTACAGCTGTCACCTGAGGAAGAGGAGAAACGAAGGATCCGGAGAGAGAGGAACAAGTTGGCAGCTGCTAAATGTCGTAATCGACGTCGAGAGCTAACAGAGAAACTCCAGGCGGTATGTACACTGCATGCATCTCTCTACTCCTAGCTAGACACTCCTTGGTTCGTCTTAAACCATGCATCTCCTCCTGCTAGTGGGTGGACATAAATATACTACAAAGAATGCACAGCATTTCCTTTCAGTAACTGGTTCACTGAGGTTAACTGCTTCCTACTGATGCCAGGAAGTGGAGTCATTCCCTTAGCTCCTGTGGTACAGTTGTGTCCTATTGTATTCCCTACTCAATATTTTGGGTTCAAAGCCTATTGATAAGCTGTGTGGGGAGTATTACACTTGTACCCATATACTCTCTCCCCAACTCACTTATTTGTCCAAGTTATCCGCATATATAGTCATTTCACTATCACATCCTCCAAACCCAACCGCTTTTCAGTGCTTGATTGTCAATACAGGTTTTCTCTTTGTGATATCATTTGTTTGTGTTATTTTGAACTGCAGTAATTGGCTAGGTTAACCAGTCACATTTCTGCTAGTGGAACTCCGAGTATACTCTAGAAGGCTCCTTCTACAGGTCCCGTAGACAGGTAGGATTGCCTAGTTAGAGCACTAATCTGAGGGGACTTCTCAGTTCAATTCCTCTGCTCAGCTACAGGGAATTGTGTCCTATGTAACCTTGGGCAAGTCACTGAGGTGCACAGAGAGATGGAGTGTAATATGGGATCACAGCTATACCTGCCTCAGAGGGGCATTATGAGGATAAATACATTAAAGATAGGGGCTGTACAAGTACCCCAACAAGCCACTTGCTCTGCCCCAGAGCCTAGTTGTCAAACTGCAGTGATTAGAAGCCAGCTGGAATTTGCGCGAGAGTCTCTTTCTTTCACTGGTTGGTTGGTGCCTCAATAGCTTGGATAGCATCAAAGGGGGACAGGTGGCTGTAGATGAGCAGAGAGCCAGGAGTGGAAAAGCCGTCCTGTGGAGCTCCTTTACATTACGCTGAATTCCCAAGGCAGTTTTCAGTGTTTGAAATGTGCCAGGTGAAGTGCAGTAATTTTCCCTTGACGCGCAATGGCAGATTAGGCCCAGACGCTATAGCTACAGGGGGAGAAAGGGAAGGGCCACCCTGAAAATGGAATAGAGGCACCATTCTCTGCCTTTCATTACTTGTGCTTCTGCGCCCTGGACCCCATTCCTCACTGTTTGTGTATTCCCCTAGTATCTGTTCATTGTCGTGGTGCACGCCAGCAGTCTTTGCGGTCGTGGGGTGTATTATCTGACTGGCTCTGAAACAATGTTTGGATTTGCCTAAGTGGTAGATCCCCAAGGATTGCTGTGTTTTACTGCTCATAGATGGTCTATGAGAGGATCATGCAGGATATCTGCTCAGCTTCTCTCTCTGCTTAGCACATTAAGGCCCTGCCTTAGCCCACTGTGCTCTCCCCTTTAGGGTAAATAGGCTGTCCTATTTATTTATTTATTTCTCCTTGGTCTGCAGGAAACCGAGGAGCTGGAGGAAGAGAAATCGGTGCTGCAGAAGGAGATTGCTGAACTCCAGAAAGAGAAGGATAAGCTAGAGTTCATGCTTGTGGCTCATGGTCCTGTGTGCAAAATCAGCCCTGAGGAACGTCGCACCCCACCCTGCCACAGCCTCCAGACGGTGCGGACTGGAGGGAGTGGAGCAGTAGTGGTGAAGCAGGAGCCAGTGGAAGAAGACAGTCCATCCTCCTCTTTGGGCCTTGACAAAGCTCAGAGGTCTGTCATTAAGCCCATCAGCATTGCAGGGGGGTTTTATGGGGAGGAGCCACTCAATACTCCAATTGTGGTGACGTCGACGCCTGCCATCACTCCCGGCACCTCCAACCTAGTCTTCACATACCCCAGTGTGCTGGATCAGGAGTCTCCTCTCTCCCCTTCTGAGTCATGCTCCAAAGCTCACCGGAGAAGTAGCAGCAGTGGTGACCAGTCCTCAGATTCCTTGAACTCTCCAACCCTGTTGGCCTTGTAACCCCCCTTTCTCTTGTGCTCCATTTGCTAGTGTGTTATATCCCCACCCAGGACTGGGTAAGGGGAGAAACCTTCTCCACAATTAAAGACACGCATAAGGGTGTTCAAGCACAAGGGCAGCAAAAGCATGGAAGGGGAAATGCTGCAGCTCTGGACACCTCCTGGAGCAGGAAGAACAAGAACAAATGTAAACTCTCTGGAAGCAGAAACGGCGATGGAGGAAATGACCTGCCCAGACCATCTGGAGAGGAGGAGCTGCCTATGGAACCCTTTGCAGGTGTTGAATGGTCTTGGGAAACACTCTTGTCCGGGACTGGAGGCGAGCTGCAGAAAATCACTAGTCCCCCTTTCCTTTGTGAACTGACCCAATGCTTTATTCTCTGTGCTTAGTTCAGTCTGGTGCGTTGATCTCTCTCACTTTCTGTTATTGATACCATGACATTTCATCCAGTCGATCTCAACCCTAGAGACTTGTTATGACCTTTGTTAATTGACGATGATGTCAGGAGGGGCTGTGGGAAATTCTTGCTGTTGTCAAAGGGGGCAGCATTGGGAGGAACCTCAAGTGCTTGATTGCAGGGATAATGCTTGTAAGAACAGCCCGTGAGCTCAGTGGCCAGGACACTGTGAATGGAGACTGGAGGAGGCTCACTCAATGACGGGAAGATTTGTCTGGAGGAGCTGGAGGATGTGAGATGGATATTTTGTTCCCCCTGTGCTGCAAATGCCAGGATAGCAAATTGCCTGGGAATGGGATGCAGAGTGGTGCCCCTGGAAGCCAATAGGAGACCAGAATCTGTTTCCACTAGCTAGTGTCTTTGGCAGCTTTTCTCTTGGAATTTAGTGTTTGTCATTCTGCTGCTGGGCCCTTTGTTTTCTTGGCTACTTGCTGCCCTTCTGTGCAATGCGTCTGCCACCTCAGTGTGCCCGAGTCAGATGCTGTTTCACTACATGGGCAGCCCTCCCTCCTCTGCCCGTGTTTCCAGAACATATCACTGAAGAGGAAGTGCCATTCCAGTGCATCCAGGGAAGAGATGTACTAAGAATGAAAGGGTGAAGCTGCCTTGGTAGCTTCCTCTTGGCACCTGTGCAACAATATGTTGTCTTGCACCTTGATTCCTAGACTCTGTTGGATTTTGCTACTTGTTGGATTTGGGGATTTTTAATTCTGGTACTCAAGACAAGCAGAGGCCCCTGCCCCTAGCAGTGGGTCCTTTGCCTTCTACACAAGGTCTCAGCTGACAGTGTAGAGTGGGCATGGCAATTTAAAATTAATGTTCACTACTGAAAATAGTGATATGTTTAACCTCAACTCCTCTGGAGCCAAGTCCAACTGCTACTGAAGTTGGTGATACTTAAAACACCATGCTCAGGTGCACTGTAGGTTTTTCCAAGATAGTGTGCGTGGATTACGCCCATAGTGTGGTAACTGAGAACTCATTTCAGAGCCTTCAAAGCGTGTCTCCATTAGTCCCACTCCATTAAAGTTGCTGTATCAGCATATCTAACCTATTTAATTGCATGTGGCATAATCTTCTTCGGTTTATCAGCCAGAATCTGGGTATTTTCAGAATTAGACTGGACTATGAGGAATCCTTGGTGCAGTGTGCTATTTTAGGCCCCCGTTCTTTGAGATGCTAAGATCCTACTCCTCTCAGATCCTACTGCCTCCATTGGGATTTGATAGTGCTCATTACCTCAGAGAATCGGTCTATTACATAGCAAGCATGGATTCTATTCAAGACTCATTGTTCTTCAGTTGCTTGTATCGGTTTGAATAGGATTAAAACGGTCTGAATTAGGTTTTGTTTAAAACCAAACTAAACCCAAACATTTACAAAATTTGCCAGGAAGTGAGATGTTCTAGTGAATTGTTCATGAAACTGAAATCTACTGATTGTGGGGTTTTTTTATTATTTGAACATTCCCTATTTTAGGCTAGTGACAGAAACCCATCACTGACCAAAACCAGCGGGTTTCATTGTTGTTTACTGAAGTGCAAAACTAAAAATCATTTACCTTTATTTATGTTAATCAGTTAAGTATTTTTCAATAAGTAGCCCAGAAAGATTCCGATTTTAAACTAGAAAGTCTTATTTCAGGATAGCTGGCTCTCTTTCCTGCCTTCTCTCACACACCCTTTTCCCCCCTGTCCTCCCCCAGTTTGCCAGAGACTCATTTGGGCTAATCTAAATCACAAACCTGGGGGCACTCCGTTAAAATGTCTCCCATATTTCAGTTCCACTCGTTCAGGGTAGAAGATAATATTAACAAGTGGTGACTCCTAAACAAGTGCACTTTTGCCCTAGGCTAGTTGACCTGACCCGCTGTTCTGTAAGGACCTGCCTATAATTAATAGCTTATTAGCATTCCAAATAGGTACCAGTTTTCCCAGATTTGAGCATTATGAAACTGTCTGCGTGGGAGCAGAAGGATCTTCGAAATTTCCCTGGTGCCAAACTGAATCTGTGGTATCTTGAAAAATATGCTAATCCCTTCTTATGTAACTTCATAAGATTTAGTTGGGGTTGGTCCTGGTTTAGGCAGGGGGCTGGACTTGATGACTTCCTGAGGTCTCTTCCAGCCCTAGTATTCTATGATTCAGCTGATGCTCACAATCCCATTAGCTATTGATTTTAACTAGTGTAAATGGTCAGTTCTGTGTAATTTGAAAGCTTTAAACCATGATATGAGGACTTCAGTAACTCATCCAGAGGTTAGGGGTTTATTATGGGATTGGAAGGGTGAGACTCTGTGGCCTGAAATGTTCAGGAGTTCAGGCTAGTTGGTCTTGATGTTCCCTTCTGATCTTCAAGTCTGTGAGTATCGGCCTGTTTCTGTGTCTCCTCCAAACCATAGGATCCCCTGTCTCCCTACACCACACACACTCCTCTTCCCTGTGACATGGGCATACACTCAAGGGACAGCCAGGCTCCTCTTTAGGTCCAGTTCATTGAGATGTTACCCAGAGGAGCCCCAGCCTCCTCCCTTCCTCCTGCCCTCACTATTCCCCTTTTTTGATCTTTCAGTGAGCACTTCAGAGATGAGGCAGCAGTATCCCTGCTAAGTGGTGATCCCTTAGGCAGCATGTTTGTGACTGTCTGAAGCAGAGGATCCCTTTTCTAATATCTGAAAATACCTTGGACAACTTAAATTCAAAGAAAGAACAAGAGAAGAAAATCCTAGAAGCTCTGCAAACTTCTCCACCTGTTTCTCTTCCCCTCCCAAAACACTTCAGGGAATCCCAGGTTAAGAACCTCTGCTGTTAGGCCACGGGGCTTGTGCATTTCTCTTGAGTAGAGACTTCTCAGGGCAGGTAGCCTTGGTTTTGATTATCCTGTTGCAAATGAGAGACCGCAAGACTTCTCAGCTGCTGTGAACTGGCTCTGGATTAATCTTTTACCACTGTCAGTTTCACCTACTCTCAGAAAGTGACGTGTCCCTTGTTTTGGAACCAGCAATCTCCATGCATACCTGTATCTTGGTGATTCCTAAATGTGCAGCATCTTCAGATGTTGTCTTTGTGATTGGGGGACATATTACAACTAGGGTCTGATCCAAAAGGTTATGTAAATCTCTGGGCACCTTTCCAGTGACATCAACAGGCTTTGGATCAGTCCTCTAGTATCTGGCCCCAGCTCAGTAAAGCACCTAAGCATGTGTTTAAAATAAGTCACTCCTAAATTTGGAGAGCAGCAACAGTTAAGTCAAAGGAAACATCCTTTCAACCTCCAAGTGCTTTTTTTTTTCTTCTGCTAATTTCACCCCCTTTCCCCACCTCTCTCGGTTCTGACATGGTCCCTATCTATTCCTTGCTCTCTGGTGAAGGGGCTGAGTAAGTCAGCAAATGGAGGAGTGATGGGTGTAGGACCAGCCTGTTGGGGGGTCAGTAGTTTGGTTGGTTTTTCTTTTAAAAATGTTATTTAAATGAGCTGTTAAGTTCATCTAAATCCTTATTTTTGCTGCTTTCTGTATGTATGATCCACCTGGCCTTCATCCTAAAAAAGCCTCAAATCTCATTATTTATTGGCAGGCAAACATTTTGTCTGCTCCAGCAGATCTGCCCACCATTAATTTAACATCCTCCCAACTCATGTTCCTGTTTTGTTTTGGTTCCTTTTCAACTCTAAAGCAGGCTTCTGAAATGTTATATATTATAATTTCCACAGTGACCATTACAAGATCATTCTCGTAAGAAGGGCCAGGTCAAACATTTTAAGAAAGGAGGGAACAATTGATTTCCTTATTTATTTGTCATGTTTACATATCATTTTCTATTCCAGACCTAGACATAATCATGAGAGCATTAAAAATACTTTGGTTGTCTGATTTTGCAGGTTAATAATGCTTTTTTCTTTAGTTAAAAACAAAACAAAAAAAATCCAGATTTTTTTTTCTTGTCTGTATAAAATGTATAAAGAGATATTTGTTTCTAAAGATGCATTATCACTCCTTTGTGAACAGTAGCTGGGACTGGGGACAAATCTCCAAGTAAAAGATAATAATAAAATCCTATCCTGTTCTACTTAATTGTTCCCCTCCTGCACCGTATGATTAAAGGGTTACTCCACTTTCTTGTTTGTGGTTACTTGATATTAAAAATGTGTAGAAAATAGGTATCTGATTGTTTTTTGCTCAATGAGAGGATAAAATGTTGTGTATATATTTAGATATACTGTGTAGTTCAAAGTAACATCAATAAGGGATAGTGCATCTTTATTAGAGCGATAAGTTACTAGTGTCACCTGAAGTCTACTTTAAGATCCTTGAAGAAAACAGCCTGATACCAATTCCATTTACATGTGTGTAAATCAGGACTAACTCCCCTGAAATAAGATACGTGGAGTTACGCTGGTGTAAAACTGGCCTGAGACAAATTGGAATCAGGCACCAGAGTCATACAAACATATAGAGATCCACGGATGTTTGGGGTACCATTATCCCCCACAAAAATGTAGATGATTTTTTTTTTTTTTTTTGTCTGAGGTGAAATAGTTCCTATTAAGAAGGTTCTTAAAGGTGACTGCAAAATTGGGACCCTTTGCTCATTTTGATCATTGTATAGTTCTTGCAATCATGGAAAATCTTGGCTCTGAAGCAATCTCTCTGGTGTTGTCTTTCTGTTCTTGTTATTTTACTGTAATACAGGCCTACAGTATTTGCACTAAAACAAAAAGCTTGTTAGAGAAAGCTTGCTGCTATGAAAGAAAGAACATATTAAAACAGTTTTGCTTTTACAATTTTAAATAAGTAGCATTTTGTAGAATAAAATCAATTTAGATTGGAAAAGAATGAAGTTTCTTTTTTTCCCCACTCCCCCCTTCTTTTCATCCTCCTTTCTTTTCCTTCCATTCCTTCATGGTTTATTCCCCCTCTCCTTTGGTGCTCAGTTGTAATGATTGCCTGTGTTGTTGACTATGCTGCTGGGAGTTATGACACTTGTAAATCCTGTTTTAATTACATTGTGGACACTTTGTATAACGAGAGCTAACTGGAGTCCTTCTCTCTGTTAATTGAAGTAATTAAAAGGCTGTCTTTGCCATGAACAATGAAAAGCTTGCATGTTCCTTCAATCCAAAGAAATGGCTACAGATGTATGTCCATAAAGCATGTCAGGGCTGTTTTCATCAAAAGGGGATGTAATCCAGACAGCTGTTCTGCCCCATTTATCATTATTGCTTTTGAAGCTAATGGAGCAAACCACGTGGGCTAACAGGCAAATATATTGCATTAATCCCTCTCTCTTGTCCTCAAAAAGAAAGGGATGTAACCAGAAAATACAAGATGTGATAATTTTACCACCTTTCAGACAGAAGGATTCAAAGTTTCTGCTGTTGCAACCTGGAGGCTAAATACCATTCATGGGTACCTAGCTAGTCTCTGGAAGCAGCCTGCATTTACCTGTGGATTTATAGATGGGTGAAGTTACCAATGTATTAAAAAACCAGCTGCCTCTCAGAAGGTGGTGTCTGTTTACCCACAAACGGCAACACTATACTACAGTTTAGGACAAGAACAGAAAGATCCTATATCTAGTTGAAAATACAGGAGCAATTTTTGTTAGGCAATACTTAATTAGCCATGTTGGCTTCGGACCCAGCTCCTACAAAGCGGCCCTATTCCTACAGCGTCACTGGATGTTTTATGAGTATGTGCAGTCAGTACTTTTGGTTTTACATCTCCTTTGAAACGCTGGCACCACCCCTTCTTCCATGAAGGAAGCTGTGTTCCCTGCCACACCGTGGAAATGAGTGTTAGGGGAAAGGTTGGTGTGCCAGAATGGCTTACTTTGATAACTGGACATGACAAGCCTTCTGAAGCTGAGGGGAATGCTCAGGGCACTATGTGCAACTAGGAGCCGCCAGGCTTGAAAACAGGGCCTTGTGAGAGCACCCAGTGGCCAGTGAGCAACATCTCAACTACAATTGACACTAAGCAGACACAGAAGCCATGGAGACTGAACTGCCTTAGTAGTGGCCAATGTTCCCTCTAATTTTTTCCACCTGTTGTGCGGAATAATTTTTATGTGCAGAGCTGCACCTCCACTGGAAACATGCTGGTGGCTGTGGGTGCTCTGCTAATCCTGGAGTGGCATTGGAATCTCTCCTGGGTAGTCGCTCAAGCATTCAGCTTGCAGGGTACACTGGTGGTGGCCTCTCCTGGGCAGAGATGATGTGATTGGTGAAGTACTCTGAATGTGTGCATGCAAGAGCCTTGCTTTGACTGCTCTGTTTCTGTTCTGGAGATGTGGAGAGGTATTCAGGGTACTGGCACTTTCACTAGCATTAAAATCAGCTAGCAGAAGGTCATGTTACTCCCATTCTCCTTGCCACCACACACCGCGCACTGAGCCCATGTTTGGTAATACAGAGCTTTACCAGAAGGGTTAGAATTGCTGTTCTGTAAAAGCTGGTTACAGGCACAGGCTTCCCACCATACCTTCCTCCCACCATCCACTGATCAGAGCAGCCTTTTCCCATCATTAGCCCACAGTGGGTGGGATGTCTGCACAGTTACTATAATTTTGGTTCTAAAGGATGAAATTACACAGCAGAGAAAAGTGTCTTCCAGTAACCTTCCTTTCTGTGGGAGGCTAAGCCAACCACATTTACATGGGAATCTTGCTTTCTGTAGTTCTTATTTTAAACCCTTCACTTTATGTGGGAGAAGAGTTCTTCTCAGCTACACAGGTTTGTAGAGCATACAATGGGACCAGGGGACTTTGTATTACCACAAATCACATATTCTCCTAGAACTCAGGAAGCCAGAAGCAGATGTTGCCTCATTTATTATACAGGGCCAGGTCAGAACTTTGTTAGTCTATTAACCCTTGTCTAGTAGAATCACTTTGACTTACTGGCCTCCCTAGAGGGAGCAATAACTAGGGGAAGCTACTACTTTTATTTTGTCTGGTCTCCCATCATAAGAGAGAGCAGGGTCTCCTCTTAGAACTATGGCCATTATCAGTCATTGCTACTGTGCAAGAAAGCACCTGCTTTCCCAACAGCCAGCGTACAATAGCAACGCCAGTTCTTAGACACCCAGAGGCCTCTTTCTCTTTAATTCTAAAGCATAGTTACTTCTCACTGTCTTAACACGTGGGATTTTACCTTGAGCAATGCTTTGATGTTTGGAACAAGGCTTTGGTCTAAAGGGGGTGATGTGTCTATATTACACTGGAGATGGCAGCTTTGACAGCAGCAGCTCTTTATTTTAGTGCTATTGGAGCTGATCGAGGCTGCAAATACATTGCAACCAATGGAAAGTACAAGAGCCATGCTATATTTCAAGACTGCTAAGTAGCACATAGAGGTGCTGGTTGGGGGAGGGAAGACGTCACTCAGCGTGTTGTGTTGTAGTGATGTTTCCACTGCCACATGGGAAGGATGTGACAGAGGAAAAATGTGACCTGAGTACTGCATCAAATACACTTAAATGGAACAACTGATGCATTATTGAAATTAACGTCTTATGCTCCTATTGAAGTCAATGGCTCAATTCCAATTAGTTGTCATGTCAGCAGTAGCAAACCTTTTGTGTTTAATTGTGACAGTCAAATTGGTTACCAAGTCCCTTCTGACCATGTCTCTTTCTACATATGATGACTCAGTTGTTGGCCTCATTCAGTAACATAATTTGGCCTCCTTCGTAATTTGGGAGCAGGCTAGCTGGATTGTCCCTCTGTGTGGATATTCCTGGGTCCTTTTTCTAGGGCTGAGCTTTGGAAGCAAGATCTCCAGTGGGACGTGCAATGCAGTGAGCCCCAAAGCCCCTCTGGAAAGACTCTCCTTGGGAAGGCAGGACAGGGTTTTGAAATCCTTTTGAAACTATCCAAGCAACATAGAAGTGAATTTGTTCCACTTTTCTCCACAATGCGCACATGCCTCTTTCCACCCTCAAGTGTTAGAACTGTTGCACAGTAGGAATCTCCCTGATCTGTAGGCTGAACTATTAGCTTGTCTAGGGTTGGGTGACCATGGTCAAGAAGGCAAGGACTAAGTTGGGAGGAGGCCAAGACAAAATAAATGTTCAGCATGCTGCAGGTTGAAGTGGCTCTTTCATTTCACCTGTTCTATTCCACAAGTACGTATTGCATAGGGAGACAAGGTTTGTGTGGCTATTATTTCTATGCCCTTGGAGAAGACTGAGCATTTCTATGGTATCAGTAATCTGTTCCAATTAGCTGCCTCTGTCTGAGGCCAGGTCCATGCCGGTGGAGAATAGTGATGCAAGATACACAACTTCAGTTATGTGAATTGCATAGCTGGAGTCAACATACCTTGCATTGATTTTTTTTTTCTGGGGGGGCCCCAATGCAGGAGGTTGACCGGAGAAATGCTCCCATCAACTTCCCTTACTCCTTGCAACAGCAAGGAATACTGTGGTCGATGGAAGCACTCTTAGCATTCGATTAAGCAGGTCTCTTTACTAGTCTTGCTAAATCAAGGCCTAGAAGATTGATCACTGGATTGTCGATCCTTCAGTAAGTGGATACAAGGCCTTATTCGGAGTGACTCAATGTTCTTCCTTCTACGCTCCTTGTTCTATAGCCAGAGCTTGTCCTTCAGATCCTGTGAAGAGGAAGAGAAGGAGCCAGTGGTACGCTGATCACGATCATTCAGCTATGTGTCCCTGACAGATCACTGAAAGAATTATCAAAGGTACTGGATTGTCGATCCTTCAGTAAGTGGATACAAGGCCTTATTCGGAGTGACTCAATGTTCTTCCTTCTACGCTCCTTGTTCTATAGCCAGAGCTTGTCCTTCAGATCCTGTGAAGAGGAAGAGAAGGAGCCAGTGGTACGCTGATCACGATCATTCAGCTATGTGTCCCTGACAGATCACTGAAAGAATTATCAAAGGTACAGGATACTGCATAACACAAAATGGCTGCTCTCTAACTTCCACATTCAGCTACATTCATGATTTAATTCCCATTAATGACACTGGTGCTTAAAAATGAACATCCACACCAAGAGATTTTGTATGAATTTGGGGTAAAGGAAGGTCTGGATCAGTTCTTGTCTTTTGGGACCCCCAACTTTCATGCCTGGGGTGCCGCATAGACCGTTTTGCTAGACCAGGAAAGTGCTTTTGCCTAACTCACATGTAGGCAGTTTAAGCCATGATCAATTCAAGACCATGTGTAAAGTACCTAACTTTGTTTTCCTGGGGCCAAAGCAGGAGGTGCCGGTGCAGTGAGAAGAAGAGATGCTTGCTTCTGCATGAGCACCAGCTGTTAGCAAGACCCACCCCAGGAATAAGAGAAGCCAGCTCACTTAGCTCCTCATCCCAGGCTGTGTGTCAAAGGGCTATGTAGACAAAGAAGATGGGAAAGAATCAAATCTACTGTGCCCACTCCATCCTCTGTAGTCACAGGGCAGCAATTGCATGGAAGACATTGGCAGCCCCTTGTAGCCAGTAGCTTAGTGCTGTGTGTTTGAACAACAGTCACCCTAGGTAAGTGTCTATCTGAAGTGATCCTTGAGATGCTCTTAGTATTCAGGCCCCCAGTCCTCTCTACCACCTGTGTGAGCTGTGGTGATCCAGATGGGGCAGACAGTCCTGCAGGGAACAGACCAGGGGAAGGGGAAGGGGAAGGGGAAGGTGAGTGACCATTCCACAACACTGACACTCTCATTCTTCGATCCCAAGAATGCACAGGAGTTTTGAGGAGAGGAAGGGAATCAGCCCCTCTCCAAAGCCCCTGAGGTGAGGGGAGGGACCTATCCAATGGCAGCATGACGAGAGGTGGGAGCATGGGGTGGAGGATCTGTAGTGCTCCCAAGATCCATGTGGATTATGGGAGAGCCACCAGTTTATGGGCAGAACCTTCAACCTATTCCACAAAGCTGGAGGGCTTGTCGTCTCCGCCTCCAAACAGAATGAGTCTGAGGGGATTCAAAGAACTGAAATGCTGGAAGTTTCTTGCCTCTTTTATGGTCTTACCCTGTGCAGGCAACCATCAGGATCCAAATAATTGGGCCTTTTCTTCTCACTCCCTGAAATGTGGATTTTGCCTGCCTCTTCTATAGCAAAAACTTCCAGCC